CGGCGACTGATCTGCCTTGCCCGGGAAGAGCGCAATGATGGTGCCAACTTGGGCCAGTGAAGCAACGTCCTCCACAACTAGACTGAAGAATAAAACGACAGCAACTTGTCTGTTCCCCTTCCCCCAATTCCCTAGCGCTGTTCCCATTCCCCAATTCCCCAATTAAAAAAAACTTTAAAAAAAAATTCATTGCCATCATACCTGCCCTACAAAAAATGAGATGTTTAAACTATGAGTCTCTCAGCAGAATATTGTCTTTATCCTTCTTTTGTATAAATTCAGAAGGATGTAAATTTTGCTTAACCTGCCACCCTTCACTGCATCCCAAACATTCCAAGAAGTAGTATTTTCTTCGTTCATCTGTTCTAGGAATTAAAAAAAATACTTAAGATGCCCTCTTTTTAAAACTGGTGTTAACTTAAAATGTGTTGCTTTATACATGTGATAAAGTTGTATTTATCTCTTTTGCTATTGATTCCTTTTTTATTTTTGTATTGATTCTAACTTAATTGTATTTAAGTCAGAAATATGGTCCTGAGATATGAGATAAAGAGGACTTGTGAGAAATAATAAAATCTGGACACTTTGAACAAGATCAAAGACCAGAAGATCTTGCTCATGTTCCAGTCAGCCTCTCAGAGCCAGGGGCATGGGTGTCTAATGACTTTCACACAGGGAGAGCCTGAGGGAGCTCATTGGGTCAGTCACCCTACAGAACCTTGCCCGTCAGTGCTGAGGGAAAAGCCACAGGAAATCACAGGAACTTGGGCAGGTGGGGGGTCGGGGGCGGGAGTCTTGGCTTTAGTTTGGGGACTCTGAAACTTCAGCCAGGAGAGCCACTGGCCACGACCAAAGGCAGGTGATATGACGCCTGCCCTCCTCCTGGTGCCAATGGACCTGTTCTCCGTCCCTGCCCCCAGACCTCCTCCTGGTGCCAATGGACCTGTTCTCCATCCCTGTCCTCCATCTACTCATCCTCCAGGGTGTCCTGTGGGTGCCTCAGCTCAGCCTGACAGCCCTGAGCTTGTCATTGGTTCCACCTGTCCCCACCTAGCCCTCACCTGTGTCCCTCACCCGGGTGGCCCACTCTCAGGCCTGCGCCTCCAGCCATCCTATCAGCCTTCACTCTCTCCAACCCAGCTGCCCACAAAACAGGTCCCATTGGCCCCAGTCTCCCCTCCCAGTGTCTCCACCGCTCACTGCCCTGGACGGACCCCACCGACCCCTCAAGTGCCCCAGACCCCTACCATGCAGTGGCCCTTCCCCACCTTCATGCAGCGGCCAGCTGGCACGTCTGAGGACCTGGACCTGCCCCTGAGCCTGTGACTCCCGCTCCCTCAGTGCTGGGCCCAGGGTGCGGGGGTCGCCCCCATGCTCGGTTTGCCATAGCCCGGTTGGGTAGCTCTGTCCAGATCTGACCACTCCAGTCGTGACTGGCGCATGACCGCTAAGGTCTTCTGCGACCTGGGCCGGAGGGATGTGGTCTGCGCACGGCCGAAGGAAATGGTGGAAGAAACGGAAGGGGTGTGCTTGAACAATGAGTTTATTATCTCCGGAAGGAGTGAAGACTGTGGTCCTAAGGCACAGGTGGCACCCACGGCACGACTCTACCTAGGCCTCCACGGACAGAGGTGACAGGGATGGGGCAGGGGCTGGCCAAGGCCACAGGGCAAGTCAGAGCCAGGGTCAGGACTGGAGCCACCCTGCGGCCTTGCCCAGGCTTTCCTGCCACTTGCCAAGCCCTGGGCAGTCCGTGCAGGGCAAGGAGCCTTATACAGGGAGCTGTGACCCCAATCTGGAAAAGGCTCACTCTCCTCCACGTGGAACCAGGGCTCAATTCTCTGAGCCGTGTGAGCAAAGGGCCCCTGCCAGGAACAGGTCTCCGGTGGAGGCACAGCACCCTCCCTACCACCTCAGAGGCGGAATGTCCCACCCAGTGTCTCCAAAGAGAGGGAGGCAGGACAGAGGCCGGGGAAGGAGGACAGCGTGGGCCTGCAGGGCCAGAGGAAGGTGCTCACAGCAGGGCCCAGAGGAGGCCCAGGCCCAGTGGGAGCAGGAGCCCTGGTCGCTGGGCCCAAGGACCCTCCAGTGTGGCCGGCGCCCTGTTGCAGAGACTCCGGGAGCAGCACTGCCTGAGGATCCTGTTGAAAACCTGGTGTCCCACCGACCACTCATGCTTCATGTTGGTGTTGGGGCACCTGGGGGCACAGCGTTTGCTGACCAACATCATCATTCTTGATTCTGCACAGAGGGACGAGAAGACATGGGGGCCGGCGGGGTGCTATCCATGTGGCCAGAGCTAACTCTCAGGATCACAGAATGGCTGGCCCATCAAGTACTGCCTGACACCGCCTCCTGACCCTTTCACAGGCCACACACTGCAGAGCAGCGGGAGCATGGTTGCCCAAGGTCACCTTCAGGTCACAGCAAAGACGGGTCCAGGCCTGCTGGGCCTGCTGAGGGCTCTTACCTGAAATCACACATGGCCTGGGCCACCCTGTGTCATTTAAGGATGTGGTAGAAACTTCGAAAGCATCGTCAGGGAGAAGCAAAACACTGAAAACCACCCAAACTGTAGGAGAAAAGGCCATCTTGGACGGAACCCACCATTACTATATTGTATTACGTTGTGTTGTGCTGTCTATTGTAGTTGCTGCGTTGCATTATATTTTGTTATGTTGAATTCTATTATATGTTATTATATGATGATTGTATTACACCATCTCATCTCAGGCTTTATAGACCGCTGCTCAGAGGCTCTGGGTTGGCTCACCAGAGGGAAGGGAAGAGGCAGGACGCCTCCTCAGGGAGCTCCCAGAGCCCGACCTTGAGCAGCTGTCTCCCCCTCTGCAGAGCTCAGGGCGGAGAGCTTCTGGCAAAGGTGGGGAGGCCAGTGAGGGGCCTGAAGAGAGCCTTCACCCGCTCCCAGGCTCCCAGCCCCCAGCACAGAGGCACCGATAAGACCTCCAGCCACTGACTTCCAGGCCAGGAAACTGTAACATGAAGCTGGGGTGGGGCTACAGGCAAAGGAAACAGTGCTACAAGAAAAACAAAATGGGTGGGGGAGGGCAAGTATTCAGTCAAAGCATGCCCCCACCATCCGCAAATTCTTTCTCTCTTGGTGAGGAAAGGGGGCACCTCCAGGGGGATGCGCACAGGGAAAGGCAGTCACTGTGGACACCCTGGGCCTCCTTCCATGTGCGTCTTGAATGTAGCCCACCAGAAGACGGAGGTGGGGGGGCATCCTGCTGGGGGCGCTGGCCGGAAGAGCGGCGCAGCCCTGCCCGCTGTTACAATCTCAGCTGTGTCTGCGTCGCTCACAGGCACTTCCACTACAGGCTTATCTCCCGGAAGCCCGGTAATGGCATGACATGCATCTTCTTGCGTCATTACTGGAAAAGCAGAAAACGGGAGACCCGAGGTTCCTTGTGGAGAGCTGATTCAATGACGGGTACTCCAGCCAAGTCCCTAGGACTTGAAGCCACAGAGAGGCAGCAGTTCTGTCGGCTGGCAGGTCCCCAGGGACCTGGAACCACGTAGCCAGAACCAGCAAACCATGATCTGGAGAGAACAGATGGTTCTCTACCTTGGCTCTCTCTGGCCATCTTTATGCTTCTACATATGAATGTTTCTAGTGGTTTGCTAGTGACATTTCAGTGGGCTTGGGAGTGTGTTCATGTCTGATTTTATAATATCCTCTAAGGCTTGTTTTGAAAGTGGCACTGTTATAGGTAAGCCCCACAGTCAGCCAGTGGGTGTGTGGCCTGGTGAGCAGCAGATCGGGCTGGCAGGTTTTGGGGGCAGTGTCCTGCCTGACTGGCCCTGCTCCCACAGCCAAGCCTCGCAGAGGGTCCTGCTCTCCCTGTAACTTCCATTACACCAGAGCCTGCGCTGCTGACAGTTCCTAGGAGAGTGACATTTAAGAACTGGTATTTGAAAAGGAGGAGGAAAAGAGTAGCCCAAATTCAGACTCTATGGATACTCTCCCTTGAGTCTAGTGGGAGGAGGCAGCGTGAAGTGTTGTCAGACCAACGGGTCTCAGGGCGCCCCGCTCCCTTCCAGCCCCTCAAGTCCCGGACAGGCTGTGCATCGCCCTTCCCCGCACCCCCAGGGACTCACTCGAATGCATGAACAACGCGTGCGAGACGCAGACCCGGTCCGTGGGTGAGCACTCGGTGGGCGTGCACAGGGTCTCCTTGGTGACTTTGAAGCACCGGTAGCAGCTCAGGTTCACACCTGTGGGGCAGCCCGGGAGCCCGATGGAGCAGGACTGCGCCCTGGCCACGCACGAAGAGCCCCCGAGATGCGCCTCGACGCCAGGCCCCCAGCCCCGAGCCCCTGTGCACCCCAACCCCGCCCAGCCCGCCCCTTACTTGGCTGTGTTGTGTCGCCAGCAAACTTTGCAGACACCAGCAGAGCCCACAGGACTAGAAGAACCAGCGCCTCCATGACGCGGGAGGGCTCAGCATGAGGAGAGAGGGGTGGAGCAGAGAAAGAGGCTTCATCCGGAACACCCCTAACTACCCCAGCCGCGTCTCCCCTCCCTGTGGCCCCACCTCCCAGGACCCGCATCATCTGATGCTCCTCAGACACGGTTCACAAAGGACCTTCGTCCCAGCTGCCGACCCCTCCTACCGGCACCTTTCCTTCGCTGCTGGGAGCTGGGCCTCTGAAGAGAGTGAGCCCCGGGAGGGGCAGGGTGTGGGGGCCTGTGAGCGCCTCCTCAGCAGCTCCTGATCTGGGGAGGGTCTCCGGGGGTCCCTGAGGATGGCAGCCCCAACCTCCAGCCGCCTCCTGCTGGAGGAGAAGGTGAGGCAGGGACTGCATCTCTCCCGCAGGGCCGCCCTCTGGGCCAGCCTCAGCCCCAGCGCCAGCTCTGGTGCAACCTCCTCCTGTGACAGCCCCACCAGCCCCAGGGCCCTGGTTCTCACCGTGGGGACATGGGAGAAGACTGGGTTCCTGCCTCAGGGGCCCACGGATGGCTGAGACAGAGAGGTTCGATGTGGCCTGAAATGGTCTGGTGGTGGAGGTGGTGGAGAAAGACGGGGGCTTCAAGCTGGAGGGGTAAAGGGAGGAGGATCACTGGAGCTAGAGAACAGGTGACATCTGGGCAACCAGGGATGAAACTACAGGAAGCCCAGTGGGGGAAACGTCCTGCACCCCACGTGGAGCAGGACCAGGAAAGGACGACGTTCAGTGTTGGGGGCAGGGGGAACGGGAGGGCAGGGGAGGAGGTGATCAGATCACAGGAACCAGTACTTGAATCTTCTTTCTTTCTGAGTGCTCCGGGCGACTTTCCTGACTGGGGCGGCCAGGGAGGCCCAAGAAAAGGGAAGAGAGCTCTGAGCTTCAGTGAGCACCTATCACCAGGCTCCAAAAACCCCGCCCAGGCCCTGCTGTTTCTATGGGCACAGCTCGGTCCCACCTCCACAGGGCACAGGGGCTGTGCCACCTCCAGGACCCGCAGAGGGGTGGCAGGGCCTCCCCCTGTGTCACACGGGCACTCAGCTCCTCTCCTGCGTGCCCAGGCTGCTGCTTTGGAGACCCTCATCCTCAGTGAGGTTCTCAGCTCCAGCCAGGCCGTCCCCCCACAGCTGAGTCTCTAGGCCTGCTGACTGTCCCTGTGATGGGCCCACCGGGTCTATCAGGGTGTGTAGGTGTGCTTGTCCCCATCGCGGTTGGTTCCTTTACAAACTCTCCCCCTGCCTGGCATCAGGCCTGCTCCCTCTCCCCGCCCACCTCCCCTTTACAGTCCCTACAAACCCTTCCCTTTACGCCTCTCAGCTGTTCTCTGTTCTCTCTGGCCTGGATTCCCAGGAGCCTGTCCTCAAGGGAACCAATGTCGAAAAGATTCAGCGTCACTTATTAATGCACAGTGAGACTTATTCAAAGAGGGCTATTGCCATAGGTGCAGGGTTCACTGCCATGTTATTTTGCAGTGGGAGGGAGACTGGGCTAGGATCCGAGTGCAGCCACGGAGCAGTGGGGTCAGGGGATGGAAAGTCGCTATGAGGAGACATCAGAGGCGGGGGCTCTAGCTAAGCTGACCTCCAGGATTCTTGCTGAAGGCAGGCCAGGTGATCACACCTCACTTGGGGAGTGAAAAGGCAGATGAGGAATGCCGTCAGATAGATATCTAGCCTGGGGGATTCTTGCTAAAACTTGATTTTACAAGGAAGGGTCGAGAGGGGCCCAGGAGAAGGTTCGGGAGCCTGGCTAGACTTTGGTCAGAGAATCTTTGTCACCAGACAATATGGTGTCCCCACCCTGAGGGCAAAAGCAGTGGTCCCGGTGGGGCCTTCTCCCCTCTGGAGGTACTTGCACACGATAGAACAATGGTCAGTAATGCACAGAGACACACAGCACATGGACGGATGGCAAAGCATTCAACTAAGTTAAAGAGGGAAGATGGGGGAAAACCCCATACATACTGCACGATTCTATTTATATGAAATTCTGGAAAATGCAGTAATATGTAGCAGAAATCAAATCAGCGATCGCCCAGGGTTGGAGGGCAAGTGGAGGGCGCTGACTGCAGGAAGGTGCCAGGGACCTCTTTGGGGGTCTCTATGTTGATTGTGGTGGTGGTTACATGACTGCACACGTTTGTCAAAACTCAGGAAACTGTATACTCAAAACTCATGAATTTTATGTTACAAATAATACCTTAAAAAGCTGCTTTAAAAGAAACTTTCCACAAAGAAAAACTCCAGGTTGAGAATGTCACTGGTTAATTTTCCCAAATGTTCGAGGACAAGATAATATCCATCTTCCAGAACCTTTTTCAGAGGACAGGAAAAAATGAAGACTTCCTAATTAAGAAGCTAGCGTAATCTTGATTTTTAAAAAATGGACAAGATAATAGGGGAGATCCAAGATGGTGGAGTAGGTAAACACTCTGCCTGCCTCCTTCCATGAACACATTAAAATTATAATTAAATTATAGAACAATCAACCTGGAGAACCCTCTGAAATGTGGTTGAACAGAAGTTTTATAATTAAGGATATAAAAAAGAAGCCACATGGAGACTGGTAGGAAGTGCAGAGACGCAGAACTGGCTAACCCCAAACCTCCGTGTGGTGGTTGAGAACCAGGAGGGATATCTTGGCTGCAGAGGTTCCCCCTAGATGAGCGAAGGACCCCAGCCCCACACCGGCCCTCCTAGCCCAGAGTACTGGTGCCAGGAAGGGGAGCCCCCACAACAAAGTGGCTGTGAAAAACAGTGGGGATTCCGACCATCTGGGTGGGACAGAAGGCGGCAGGAAACCCAGGTGTCCTCTTAAATGGCCCATGCACAGACTCCCTCACTCCCAGGCACTCACCTTGGGCTCCAGCGGAGGGACAGTAACTCCGGGGGGTATCGGAGTGAGGACTGGCGGACAGTCAGCATTTTCCCTGTGAGGAGTCTCCTCCAGGGCAGCCGGCAGGTGTGCACCATCTTTCTCGTGTTGAGCCCTCTCCCTATGCTTAGGTCCAAACCTGTATCTGATTGGCTTGGTGAGCTCCTCAGCTCCACCCGGCTGACTCACTGGGACCCCACCCCACCCAACCAAATGAACCCAAACAGGTCCACGCCTACACACATTATAATTAAAATGCCAAGGGTTAAAGACAAACAGAGGATCCTAAAAGCAGTGAGAGAAAGGCAACTAGTGACTTATAAGCGAAGCGAGCTTCCATAAAATTGTCAGCTGATTTCTCAACAGAAACTTTGCAGGCCAGAAGGGATTGGCACAAAATATTCAACGTGATGGAAAGCAAGAACCTAACAACCAAGATTACTCTACCCAGCAAGGCTATTGTTTAAAATTGAAGGACAGATAAAGAGCTTCCCAGACAAGAAAAAGCTAAAGGAGTGTACCAAAGCAGTATTATTATAAGGAGTGCTAGAGGGACTTCTTTAAGATGAAAAAAAAAAAAGATAAAAATTATGAATAATAAAATGGCAATAGCTACATATCTATTAATAATTACTTTTAATGTAAATGGATTGACTGTTTTAATCAAAAGACATAGGAGGGCTGAATAGATAAGAAAACAAGACCCCTACATATGCTGCCTACAAGAGATTCACTTCAGATTGAAAGACACATACAGATGGAGTGTAAAGGGACGGAAAAAGATATTTCATGAAAATGGAAAAAAATAAAGCTGGGGTAGCAATACTTACACCAGACAAAATAGAATTTAAAACAAAGGTTATAACAAGAGACAGTAATCCAGTAATCCCACTTTAGGCAATTTATCTGAAAAAAACCGAAACGCTACTTCGAGGGGACGTGTGCATCCATATGTTCATTGCAGCATTGTTTACAATGGCCCAGATGTGGAGGCAGCCCGGGTGTGTGTTGATGGAAGGTGGATGAAGAGGAGGCGGTGCATACATACAATGGGATATTGCTCGGCCAGGGAAGGGGATGGGTTCTTGTCATCTGCAGGGGCCTGGATGGACCTGGAGGGAATAGTGCTGAGTGGAGTATGTCAGACAGAGAAAGACAGATGCAATGTGATTTCACTTCTATATGGAATCTAAAGAACAAAATAAACAAACAAAACAGAAACAAACTCATAGATACAGAGAACATTTCGATGGTTGCCAGATGGGAGGGGGTTGGGGATAAGTGAAAAGTGGAAGAAGGGATTAAGAAGTACAAATTTGTTGTTTCAAAGTAGTCATGGGGATGTAGGGTATAGTATAAGGAATATAGTCAATAATATTGTAACAACTGTGTATGGTGTCAGAGGGGTACTAGATTTGTTGGGGTGATAGATAGGAGGAGGTTAGGGGCAGGGATCAAGAAGTATAAACTGATAGTTACAAAATAGTCATGGGGAAGTAAAGTATAGGGAATATAGTCAATAGTATGGTAATAACTATGTATAGTGTCAGGTGGGCACTAGACTAGTCAGGGGGTTCATTTCTTAAATTATACAAATGTCTGACCACTATGCTGTACACCTGAAATTAATATAAAATAATATTGAATGTTAACTGTAATTGAAAAATTAAAAGAGGGGCGGGGAGGTGAAGGGGAATAAGTGGCCCAAATTCCCAGATGTAAAACAAATAAGTCATGGGGACATAGTGTACAGCGTGGGGAATATAGTCAATAATATTGTGATAGCGTGGGACAGTGTCAGAGGGTTGCCGGACTTATCATGGTGATCAATTCCTTAGGCATATAAATGTTGAATAACTATGGCGTACACCAGAAACTAATATAATGTTGTATGTTAGCTATAGTTTAATAAAAATCTTTTAAAAATAAAAAAATGGATAAAGTATTATAGAAAACGAAAATTCTAGGGCAATCTCCCATGAAAACGTATCCTAAAAATAACATCAGAAAATCACCAGTGGCCAAGAAAATCACCAGTGGCCAAGAAAATCACCAGTGGCCAAGAAAAACTATATATATTCCAATATATGCAGAAAATCAGTTGATCTGTTCAATACGGTTTATGATAACTCTTGCAGCAAACCACAAGTA